TCAAATTTCGTTCAATTACTCATTTTCATTCTACCAAAGCATCACTCTCTATCACTGCTACAATGTAAAATCCATGTTATGCAATCAATTCCATCAATCTCTAATCCCTCTACTTCACTAAAACTCTTCTTTTTTCCTCTCCCCTCTCTCTCTCTCCTTCATTACAATTCACTTCTGCTTTGTAAACCCTAGTATCTCTTCACTTCTCAAATATCATTCTATTTCCGTCATTTCATGGATCCTGGATTTTTCATAAAAACTGCACTATTTCATCATAATATTGTAATATTACGTTGCCCAATGGCAAAGTAATACTGAATTTATACTCCAACCGGATGCCGGGAATGTCGTGTTGTTCGCATCATTCAATTTCGCGATATATCGATGAGGTCAAGGTCTCGGGATTCAATGAGATGGCTATCAGCAATGTTTTAATGAAATGGAAATATTTTAGCGTCATTTTTCTTACAACCTAATAGTTAATGAATCGCTATTTTTATTTTATTTTTGGAATTCACAATAGTATGCTATTATTTAAAAATTGAAATTTAACGCAAACTTTTTTTTTCGTTTTCCAAAACAGCCATGTTTAGGTAAGATTATTTGAAATTTCCATAGATGAAACACTTATTTTTATGTTAACGGCATATAGTATCTAAGTTTAAGGGATTTAAAATCATACACTGTTATTTAAACGTTGATATTTAGCACAAAAAATTCGCTTTTTCCGAAATCTGAATAATCGTTATTTGATATTAATATGCAGACATTATCACAGAATTGAATCACTGCTGAACTGTCTCAAATCAAATTGTCATTTATTCCAAATCTTGTTTTTGTCTTCATTTGGCCACAGTTTACTTTTTAAATCACAGTTCTTGTACGTGCAAATGATGCTGTTATAAATTTTATGAATTATATAGAAATTTCAAGGTCTTTTATATGGCTGACGATATTGATACGAAAAGCGAAACGTCTGGTAAATCATCACCGACGAGACAAAGCGAAACAGCGCATAACCAACAAATTGAACCAACTACGGCATTCTTAGATATCTGCAAACAGTTGGATCCTGAAATAGATGAAGATTTTATTGAAAAAGCATGGAAACAATACGATACTGTCGGGAAGCAATACGTCTTAGAGGTTTGATTGTTCACGTAGATGAATTTTTCTGACAAATAAGTAAATGAATAAAATAAATAAGTAAATAGATGAATAAATAAATGTATATACGTGTATATACGTATGTATATGTACATATATATATATATATATATCCATATATATGTATATGTATGTAAATATATATATATATATATATATATATATATATATATATATATATATATATATATATATATATATACTACTATATA